ATCGGAAGCCGATTAATCGATTATTGAAAAAGTTGACAACTTTTTCAATAATCGATTATAATCGATTATGTCGATTAGTTGTTGCAGCCCTACTCTGCAGGGTCCCTTTAACAGCAGTGTGATCCATTTAGCTGCATCTGCCGCCCGCTGCTGGAACCAGCCTTCTTCACCGCCGGACCCCCCAGCCTCCTCCACCGCCCGACTGGCACTTCCAGGTCCCGGCCTCCTCAACGCCCGACTGGTGCTTCCAGATCTCAGCCTCCTCTGGCATTTCGGGACTGGCGTCCTCCGTCGCCCAACGAGGATCTGGACCCGCCCCCTGACAGGGATACGGACCCGCCCCCTCCTGCTGCTGCTGTTCCTCCTCCTTGCCCCCATCTCCGCCTCCTTGTCCTACTACAGTAGATTAGGCAGGCAAGCCTACCGAATTCTGTGCAGCCCGGGTTGCCTGACTGTTTTGAAGGCAGCATTTTTGATGCCCCCCTGGAAAGTGCCGCCCAAGGCAAACGCCTTGTTTGCCTTGTGGCAGATACGCCCCTGTTTTTATAACATCAACAGTTTAAGCAGCCCTTTACATGCACATTCACATCAGTCCCTGCCCTCAAGTGAGCTTACAATCTAAAGTCCCTATCTCACATGCATACATACACAGCCAATTCAGACAGGAGCCAATTAACCTTCCAGCATGTCTTTGGAGTGTGGATGGAAACCCACACAAGCACGGGGAAACCATGCAGACGCCTTGCAGATAGGGTCCCTGATCAGTATTTGAAGTGGGGGCCCTTAGTGCTGCTAACCGCTACGGCACTGTGCTATGACAGGAAATCTGTCCACTGCATTACAGTTCTACTTGGTTTTGCTCCCGGTTCTCCCCTGTATGTCACCCTTCATCAACTCTCAACAGAAACTAAACCCACACCCCGCCCACGAGGTCTCATATCTTACAATACTTTGCCTATATCCTATTCAGCCCTTTAATTGCTGTTATTTAGTAAAATGGGTCAAGCTTCACCTTTTCTTTCCATACAAGGCAGCTGAGTGATGTAAAAATGAGCAATACTTCACAATAATACTTCACAATAATACTTCACAATAATACTTCACAGTAATACTTCAAGGTACCAAAAAAAAATGGTGGATGAACTATCGTCATGGTGGGCACCCTGACCTCATGGCCATCCTTTTTAGCCGCCGCAGTTACACCCTAGCCTGCCACTCAACTGTTTACAGCGAACGTTTTCTCATAAATGGTCTTTAAGTACATCTTGCTGTAAACTCTAAAACGGTAATGTATATACCAAACAGTAGTATGCTTCATCACGGCGGGCTCTGAATTATGTGATAACACCTGTGGTGGCAGGAGAGATAAAATCTCGAAGTTTTCATTGCCAATAAAGTCGTTTAAACTGAGCGAAAAGTTAAATCTTTTAGGCGTCCTTTTATCGGGAAATAAAAGAGCTTTGCTGACATCTCCAGGATACAGAAAGAATGGCTTCCATGGGGTTTTTGTATCATCCCTCGGGTTTGATGTATGGAAACCATTTACGCTTTTCTGACTTTGCATTTCCTTCTCACACAACACACTAATCATGGTTGAAATAAATAATGCATAGAGCAAGGTTGCACATTCTGGTTTATTAAAGCGGAATATGAGATCATACTATGTTAATTCTAATCAATTCAAAAGTGTGAGAGCTACCAAATCGTAATATATACAGTATGTTCCTATCTTAATAACTGTGTACAGAGGCTATTGATACGTTACATACCAGGTGTCCCTTTTTTTATTGTTATCTGTCTCTGTGGGATGGCTATCATGCAGATAGCTAGTACTAGTTAGTCACATGGAATTTGTTGAAGATGTTTCTTAGCTTATCCAAGGTACTTCTTAAAGGAGAACTATGAGGGGGTGCTTTTCACTCACCTCATAGTTCTAGCCGACCTGTGACAATGAGACTGTCACAGGTCGGCTCAGTATATCGGGAGGTGAGCGAACACATACCGGCGTTCGCTCGCCTCTCGATCCTGTCACAGCTCTCTGCCCGTGACAGGGGAGGGACTGGATTCCCCTCTCCCCGCTCCGATAGCGCTGACTGGTGGAACGGACGGGGAGGGGGCGGGCACAGCTGGCTCTGCCTCTAGATAGGCAGAGCCTGCTGTCACTCACAAAGCTGGGTGGATCACGACAGTATTGTCAGGATCCGTCCCGGCTACGTCGCTCTCAGTATATAGCGGGCAATAGCCTGCTATATACTGATCTTTGGGTCACGGGAGGAGGTTAGTATATGTCCCCCCCGTGACCCTAAAGAGAACTATGGGGAAAAACACAACCCATAGTTCTCTTTTAAGCATTACTAGTATAGCTGGTTAATATACTGCCATCTTGTTGGCATTTTGGTTACTGCACCATGTTTTTCTGCATTCCCTCCCCTTGTGTGCTATGTACCACCTGTCTTCTCAGAAGTTGTTTCTATGGCATCAAAATGGTTGCTTATGACACGGCCACATGTTAATCTGCCCGCACGGGGGGAAACATTACCATCTTTTGACCTGCAAATACCATCCTTTCAATCATCTGCTGCATCCAGCTGCATTCAATAGAGAGCTTCGAGGATGAAAAGGTATTTGGTGAGTTCAGCTATTGTCCTCGGTGATTATTTTATTTATTACAGGTACTTACGGTATACAGCGCCGACAATTTACGCAGCACTTTACATAGTTGCACATTCACATTAGTCCCTACCCTCAAGGAGCTTACAATCCAAGGTCCCTATCTCACATACATACATAGAGGGCCATTTTTTTAGGCCCCGTTCACATTGAGCGATTTATCGCACGGTAATTCCCACGATATAGCGGCTATTTACCGCGCGATATCGCTCTTCAATGCTTTTCAATGGGGCAAAGGGTCCTGCTGTTGCAGGTCGTGTGTCGCTACAGCAGGACCCTTTTTGGAGAGGATTTTGCCGCGATTCTCGCGACAAATCGCGCAAAATGCGAATCGCGCGATTTGCGAATCGCGCAGTGTGAATGGGGCCTTAGAGAGAAGCCAAATAAAAAAACATTTAAAGTGATGAAAAATAATAAAAGAAATATAAAACCAACCCAGTCGCCCCCAATATCTGATTGGAATGAACATGCGCGCCTAAGGCATGCACATGTATGTAAACAAGGAGGTGGGGAGTTCAAACGAACAAAACAGACAGGTTGTTGTGCTGGAATTGACGCATTAGCGATTCGCCTGGGAACACACACCAGCAGCTGTGCTTTGTAGCGCAGTTGTTGGTGTGAATGCACCCTAAATTTCAGACCGCGGTACAGATACGGACTGAGTGACCATTCTGTCAGGACCGCGATCTGGACCTCGGCTCGAAGAAAACTTTACTCTCCGGATCTTCTTGGATTTTAATGCCCTCCCCCTGATAGGTCACCTCGCACACAAAGATTTTTCGGGTGTAAGGATCTGCTTGTTGGGCAAAAAGGATCATTTAACCCTCGCAGTGCAGGATGGGGCCCTTTTCAATTGGAAATGTTTTCGTTTCCCCAGAGATGACCTTTAACCCTTGCAGTGTTGAATGCGGGACCCCACTATTATTGCCAGGTTCCAATGTCACATTTGTCTGTCCTAGCAACAACTTGAAACCAAGCAAGCATGCTCCCGTTGCCATGCAAGTGCAAAACCAAACGCATGCGCACTGATCCCTCAACCGGAGTTGGAGTTTTCGACAGAACACCCTCGCTCCCGCACTGCGCACGCGCCCTTAATGTCTCTCGTCCCGCCCTATCGCAGGCGGAGCCATCTCCACGCACGCGCATTGGAGGCCCGGCTGCGGTTTCGGGAAAGTACGCATGCGCGGAAGGTTCGGGAAAGTTCCCGAGTGGTAGCCGGTGGTTTCCGGAAGGAAACGAAGTCAGGTCGCCTCTTTGCTGGGTGTCAGCGTGCTGCTGCTGTGTGTCTTATCATGTCCGTGCTGTGCTATAACCGGGGCTGCGGGCAGCGCTACGACGCCGAGACTAACACTGAGGGTGAGAGGAGTGTGCAGGGATCACCCGGGGGGGGAGAGGGGGCTCTGATCATTGTATCAGATACCTGAGATAACATTGCATCAATCTGCCTGTATTCAATGTATGTGATAGTGACGTCACTGTATATAATATTATTAATCGTACAAGGCTTAATCAGGCACTTTATCCTCATTATGTGAGGTGTATTGCTATCAGGTGTAGGCAACCTCAGTCAGGTGTTGTGGAACTACAAGTCCCATGAGCCATTGCACGACTCTGACAGCCACAGGCATTACTGAGAAACAGAAGCATCATGGGATTTGTAGTTTCCCCACAGCTGGAGTGCTGAGGTTGGCAATACCCTGATCTGTGGTAATGAATGGCTTCCTTGTATAAAGTCATGCCTGTGCAGGCTCTTATCTGGCTGGATTAAAGGGATGGAATATGGGAGCGGCCATCGCTAACTTGTGATGGGTCCGCCATCCTGATCCCGGATTTACTACTTCAAATGTATTTCTACTTTTGTAAAACTGGGATCACACCTAGATGACATTTGTTATAAATTCCCATTCATACAGCATGGCTTAAAAAAAAAAGTTCAAATCTTCCATTTGCACTGCACTCGCTCTTTTCTGAAAACTCCAAACTGGGATTTTCCTCCAAAGGGGGGCTGGGGAGTTGATGTTTGCCTTAATTAACCCTGTCTGTGCTGGACTGCAGATCCCATTATGGCCCCTGTAACATGGTCATGTGATCAGGTCCATCTGTCAGGTTTTAAGGGTGATCCGATTGGAAGCTCAATGTTAGTCTATGGGCAGGCAGGTGTAACCAGATGTTTGCATATTATTACCTCCGAGTCCGGCTAGGTCAGAAAAAAGGAAAATATATATAATACAGAGGACCCCATCCCACTTCACAGACCGGTCCTGTACTGTGATTGGACTATATGGGCAAAAGTATTGGGACAGCCCTCCAAATCATTGGATTCAGGTGTTCCAAACACCTCCATGGCCACAGGTGTATAAAATCACGCACCTCGGCGTGCAGACGCTTCTACAAACATTTGTGAAAGAATGGGTCGCTCTCAGGAGATCAGTGACTACAAGCGTGGTACCGTGATAGGTTGCCACCTGTGCAATAAGTCCATCCGTGACATTTCCTTGCTACTAAATATTTCACGGTCACCTGTTAGTGGTATTATAACAAAGTGGAAGCAACTGGGAACAACTTCATGGAATGGGTTTCCATGGCCGAGCAGCTGCATCCAAGCCTTACATCACCAAGTGCAATGCAAAGCATCGGATGCAGCGTTGGATGCAGTGGTGTAAAGCACGCCGCCACTGGACTCTAGAGAAGTGGAGACGTGTTCTCTGGTGTGATGAATCACGCTTCTCTGTCCGGCAATCCGATGGACGTGTCTGGGTTTGGCGGTTGCCAGGAGAACAGTACTTGCCTGACTGCATTGTGTAAAGTTTGGTGGAGGGGGATTATGGTGTGGGGTTGTGTTTCAGGGGTTGGGATTGGCCCCTTAGTTCCAGTGAAGGGAACTCCTTAAGGCATCAGCACACCAAGACATTTTGGACAATTTCATGCTCCCAACTTTGTGGGAACAGTTTGGGGATGGCCCCTTCCTGTTCCAACATGACTGCGCACCAGTGCACAAAGCAAGGTCCATAAAGACATAGATGGGGGAGTTTGGGGTGGAGGAACGTGACTGGCCTGCACAGAGTCCTGACCTCAACCCCATAGAACACCTTTTGGATAAAATAGAGCGGAGACTGCGAGCCTGGCCTTCTCCTCCAACATCAGTAGGATGGGCCCAACCCCTGAAAAACAACCCCACACCATAATCCCCCTCCACCAAACTTTACACTTGGCACAATGCAGTCAGGCAAGTGCCGTTCTCCTGGCAACCGCCAAACCCAGACACGTCCATCGGATTGCCAGACAGAGACGCGTGATTCGTCACTCCAGAGAGTCCAATGGCGGCGTGCTTTACACCCCTGCATCCGACGCTTTGCATTGCACTTGGTGATGTAAGGCTTGGATGCAGCTGCTCGGCCATGGAAACCCATTCCATGAAGCTCTCTACGCACTGTTGTTGTGCCAATCTGAAGGCCACACGAAGTTTGGAGGTCTGTAGCTATTGACTGCAGACAGTTGGCGACTTCTGCGCACTGTGCACTTCAGTATGCGCTGACCCCGCTCTGTCATTATACGTGGCCTACCACTTCCTGGCTGAGTTGCTGTTGTTCCCAGTTGCTTCCACTTTGTTATAATACCAGTAACAGGTGACCGTGGAATATTTAGTAGCAAGGAACAAGGACACCTGAATCCAATGATTTGGAGGGGTGTCCCAATGCTTTTGGTAATATAGTGTGTATTATATTTTACAATAAAGAGGGCCCCCATCCTACTTCACAGACCGGGTGATCTAATCCTTGTCCAACACTAAAAAAACCAGTTTTGGCTTCAGATGCACTTAGATGAGGGGTGGGGTGGTGTAGCACAGAATGACAGAACCTTGTTGCTCCATTCATCTTTCCTGCACTGTGTTAATGGTGTGTTTTTTGTCTTGTTCTGGGTTGCAGATTCCTGTACATATCACCCCGGTGTTCCCGTGTTTCATGATGCTCTGAAGGTATGTAGAATAAAACGTGTTCCATTGATGGTGGATTATGATGGGACGGGGGCTGTGTTGTGACTTGTTTGTCTCTTCCTATACACAGGGCTGGTCGTGCTGTAAGAGGAGGACAACGGATTTCTCAGACTTCCTCAGCATTGCGGTGAGTGCGCTGTCTTTGCTGTCCCACGTTTCCTTGCATGTATATTTTCTGCACTTTCTTGTGTATTTTCCGCTTCTTGTCCATGGCATTGTAACATTTCATTGCAGCAAGTGAATATTTAAAGGACAACTCCACCTTACAGTAGTGATATCAAAGGCAACAGATTTTTAAGCTATTTCAGATGCTAGTGAAATCACTTCAATGGTTGCTGCTGCTTAATATTTAAAAGTTGTAGTTTCCTGCAGAATCAGCTGGTCCCCTGAGCACTGGCCTGTGTATCCTCTATTAGGGTGACTCCTTTCCCTTGCAGGGTCCTATAGAGTCACCCTTGTGTGTGACTTCACAAATACACAAGCGCAGCAAGTAAAGGCTCCCTGCTTCTCCTTATCTCTCCTTCCTTATTTAAAGGAGAACTATGAGGGGGGTGCTTTTCACTCACCTCATAGTTCTAGCCGACCTGTGACAATGAGACTGTCACAGGTCGGCTCAGTAGATCGGGAGGTGAGCGAACACATACCAGCGATCGCTCACCTCTCGATCCTGTCACAGCTCTCTGCAGTGACAGGGGAGTGGCTGGATCCCCGCTCTTCCAGCACTGACTGGCGGAACGTACGGGGAAGGGGGCGGGTACAGCTGGCTCTGCCTCTAGCCAGCTGTCACGCAGCTGGGCGGATCCAGACATGATTGTCGGGATCCGCTTCAGCTGCGGCAGCTCAGTATTCCGCGAGCTGTAGCTCGCGGTATTCTGAGCTTAGGGTGACGGGAGGACGCTAGTTTGTGTCCTCACATTACCTAAGGAGAACTATGGGGGAAATCCCTAACCCCCATAGTTCTCCTTTAAGCTAGTAGATGAACAGTTGCTGGAGAATGCTTTGTCTATTGTGATCTTGTACTGGATAGGAAGTTCAGGGAAACAGAGCTGGGAAAGTTGGAGCCAGCCATTCTGAAACATGACTAAGTGTTTGGGACACACTTTGCTGGGCAATGTACATTTGTTTGATCTGGATTGAGGGTTCATTACTACTTTAATTAAAAAAAATGTATTTTAATGTTAATGAGTCCCTCATCTTTACTAGCTGGCTTTGTCTGGTGGCCCACAACTTTTCTTCTACCCCACCAGGCCCTATTCTTAGTGTACATGCATGCCACAATCCCGTTCATTACTAGGGTGCAGGATGTAATTAAAGGAGTTGTGAAGTCCCAGCTGTTAGGACTCCTAAGGAAAGCAACTCTGAAGGGACTGGAACCCTTAGTGGGACTTGAACCCACGCCTCCTGGCAGGACTTATCGTGTTAAGATTTCCCGGGATTCTATCGTGCTGCCAGCTTCAGACAAGTACTTGGGAATTAAGAATCACACAGAATTGTGTATTCACTCTAATTCAAAGGTTTATTGTTAAAACAAAAGGTTATATGTAAAACACAAAGGGGGATGGCGGAGCATAAACCAATACAATTTATGCACATATACAAAAATACGGTACTACTCATGATGGTACTGATCACGGGACAACCTTGGGGGGGATTTACAAGGTAAACAAGCAAAGACACAAATAGCGATAAGAGATACAATTTGCAAAGACTAACATTTTAGAAACGTCTCAAACTGGTTTCTGTAGAAAATACAGAAAAACACAATTTTGCTTGCTCAGGGCCTGGTCACATGAGTTTCAGGTCCAGATCAGGTGCGGATCTGCAGACGCGGTGCTATGTGTTTTTGATGCGTTCCAGTTTTTAAAATTTTTTTTTTTTTTTGCTGGAGTGGGGCTGTAGGTATGTTAGCTGCAGTGCGTTTTTGACGCGTTTTGCATTTCCGGACCGTTTCCTGACCGTTCAAAATGTGACATGCAGTATTTTTCTGTCGTAACCTGAACGGACTGCGCACGTGAGAACTGCAGCCCATAAAACACATAGGGATACATTTTTAGCGCAGGAGCGTACGGATCAGGTCAGCACAGAAAACGGACATCGTGTGAACAGGCCCTCAGACATTTATGTATAACCCAAAAACAGGCCAATGAAATGAATCACCCTTCAGTCCCTCCTTCTATCCCAACTGGATAACACTATAGAATATTCTCCTTATACTCGCGGAGTGTAAACTTTGTGCACAATTATTAGGCAAGTTGTATTTTTGAGGATCAATTTCATTATTGAACAACTGCAGTGCTCTCTGTCAATCGGAAATGTTAAACCTCAAACCTGAATATTTAAGAAAGTAAAAGTGAGGTTTTGGCTCTCTCAGACTATTTGGGTGTGCACAATTATTGGCCAACTATTAGTGTGCAGGATTATTAGGCAACTAAATGGAAAATTACAATTTTTCCCATCTCACTTGTTCATTTTCATCTGTTAGGCCTCATTCACACAGCTCCATGCTGCGTGCACGGCCGTATCAGGCAGCTCCTGGGAAGGACAGGTATTGCGTGTGATTTTGTACGCAGCAGCCTGTCCTCTATGGAAGTACGCGGCTGTACGCTCACTTGAGCTGCACATCCATTTACCAGACCTACATATCCCATTATGCATTGCTTCCAGCAAGCAATGATAATGATACATTGTTCAGATGTTGAGTTGTAGTTCACAAGGCCGGGGTGACACTAGGAAGTACATATTCACAGGGTTGAGCGAAATAGTGCGCTGAGGAAGTGTGTACTGTAATGACGCTGACTGTGCACTGCAGGCTGAATGAGAAGAAACTCTATTGCTCGTCCATGCCAATGGTGTAGATGGGGGGAATCCCCTCCCCAACCTCCCTTCCCCTTGCCTGGCTATCCGCTATAAGAATAAGGGAACAGCGAGTGCAGCTGATTGCAGTCACTGTCTGGCCAAGAAATTTCCTTTTTTATTTCTTCTTTTTTTTTCTACTTAGCAGTGGGGCCACACTGGTTGATTTTTGACCGAAGCAGCTTGACTTGGTCGAAATTCAACCAGTGTATGGCCACTCATAGTGACGTCCTGCTAGAGTAAACCTATCATGAGAAGAGAATGGGGAATGCCATTGCTGAGCTGTTCTTCTGATGATAATAATGCTTGTCCTCGTTCTTTAATGTTTTGAGTCACTGACCTGGACAGGTATGCACTTCATCCTGTTGACAGTATATGTTTAAAAAAAAGTTTTTGCTCTGCAGATTTAATTCAAATTGAACTTCCTGCAGCTGTTTTACCTGCTATGGGATCTGTATTTCCGTTCATCCAGTCTTGAGATTTACTTGGCTCTACCACACACCACAACCCTGCCTCGCAGGGCACAAGGCTTGTTTTTTCAGGCTTAAGATGATCTGATTTTAATGAAGTTTTCCTGGATGATTGCAGGGTTGTACTAAGGGGCTCCACAATAATGAGAAACCTCCAGAACCTGTAAAGCCAGAGGTGAAGGCCACATCAGAAAAGAAAGAATTGGCAGATCTGAAGCCAAAATTCAGTGAACACATTATACAAGCACCAAAGCCCATAGAATCCATTAAGAGGCCCAGGTAAGTAGAATACTTCCACTTCAGTAAAAATGAGAAGTGCGTGTGCCCCGTTGGGGAGATTTCCTTTCACTTCCTGCCCTGTAGATGAAATGGGAAATGAGAGGAAACCTCTCTTAAGTGAGTGGAATTCCCATCTTAGACAGTTGTCATCCACTGTAAACTGTTGGCTTTCCCTTGATAGTAGTCACCAGGAAAAATAGCTGGTTGAATCTCAGTGGTGGGAACTTGACAGGGACTCTAACCCTTCCCTACTCTGTCCAAAACGTATAAAATACTTATAATACAAAGTTTGCCTTTCAATTCCCTGTAAGTGTGCCGTGTCTAATGTTCTAGACAATGACAGTTTGTCCACCCCCGGTATAGATTTTTATTGGGGCCCTGTAGGTGGTCAGATGGAGTGGGCCAGTGGAAAGCTGTCCATAGGAAACCAAGGACAGTCTGATGTGCTGGCACAATTCTCCAGGTCCATCCTCAGGCATAAAAATAACTTTCCATCACCTGCCATTTTCCAGCAAATCTAGGACTCCTGGCAGAAAATGATTCTCAAAAATGGTAGCAGCCAGGGAAGGGTCAAAGCTATAGATTGTAGTCCTAAAATGTTTCTGGGGGGACAGTTACTCTCCTTCCAGATAAGGAAGAGGGGCCATGAGAGAATGGTGGAGGGAGAGGCTAAAGACTTGGAAAAGGGAAGGGAAAGGCCAAAAGAGAGGTAGGATAATGAGGCGGGGGGTGCGTGCAGAGTTTTTTTGCTAGAGGGACATATGTTGTGTGGAAACGATATGCTATACGTTGGATTTTCCTTTAATGTATAGTTATTCAATCGGATTTTAGTTTCCTGTTTGGTAATTGGTAATAATTTTGGCTGCACTGGATTGTTGTACTTGCTGAGTGTGTGTGTGAAGGGCCCTGTGGGGTGCTATGAAGCTTGGCAGAGCACACAGGTTTTCTCTGGTGAAGATGTATGGAATGTGATGTGCATTGTGCACTAATGTCTCTGCTTTTCTATAAGATAAAACTGTATATGACTTCTGCTAGTTCCTGGGATGTGAGCTCACACACTCCGCAGATACTTCTCTGAGAACTACACACAGCCCTATGCACTGTACATGTTCCGTGTTTGTAATTTGCTGGCTGCTTCTGTCTGATGTTGAACGTCTTCATGTGCTCACCTCTGATGACATATTGTCTTTACAGCGCAGACGAGCCTCTGTCACGGTTACAGCTGAAGGTATCTGCGTCTTTGAAGCAAGCACTGGATAAGCTGAAACTTTCCTCTGACAATATTAAGACCGAAACGGGTATGACGTGTCTTCATTCAGGGGCCACTGTACCCAGACAGTCCTAAAATGCTGATTAACCCCGTCCTGACCGGGGTGTTAAACCCCCTTCCTGTCCAGGCCATTTTTCAGTATTCAGCGCTGCGGTACTTTGACTGACATTTATTCAATCATGCAACGCTGTACTGAAATGAATTTTATACCATTTTGTGGGGACACATAGAGCTTTTCTTTTAGTGGTATTTAATCACCACTGGGGGGTTTTATTTTTTTACTATATAACAAAAAATCTACTGAATGTAATTTAAAAAAAACTGCTTTCCCTAATTTATGTTAAAATGTATTGTTACCCAAATTTTTGGTAAAATATAAAAGACGGGGTCACGTCGGGTAAATAGACTGCAAACACGTCAAGTCTTAAAATCGCGCTGGCTCGCGAAATCCCCCAAATAATGCCATACCCAAAATTGGCCAGAGGCGACACTTTAAAAGCTTTTAGAGTTCATCAATTTAGTGTTATCGGTGATTGATGGCTCTAAAATTATTTTTGATCTACTCCCTATCTAAATAAAATAATTATACACTTTTTTTGCAATTTTGAACAGTGGTAGCCCTAAAACTAGTGCTACTGTACATACAAAGTGCTACAGCTCCCCCCAAAAAAATCAGGACCAATCAGCGTGGCCCCTGATCATGTGGTGATCATGACAGCTGTGATATGTGGTCATAGGAAGTTGATAGTCGGCAAATCTCTCGCAGCTCTGTCCTTTTTATAAAAAAAAAAAAAAAAAAAAAATTAGCAAATGTCTGAGATGCCTCCCACTGAGTCACGCCCGAAAGTCTTCATTTAGCATTGGAGAGGCTGTGACTCATTAGGGTAGGGGGTTGTCGGCTGCAGAGAGACCACTGCTTCCACACAGATGGCAAGCGAGCTGTATATTACAAATGTAACACTACATGAACACTTGTAGGTGAGTCACTATTATACTGGAAGTATGAGGGCTGAGTGCTGCCATGCACCCCGGACGCTTGAGTTACCATGGGGGAAACAGTAGCGCCTTTGCTTATCCCTGATTCACCAAGGCTGAGTCCCTGCAGATTTTCTCCCCTACATGCGGGCGTATTTAATAATATTTCTACAATGCTGTTTTTTGTTTTTTTTTCTAGACAAGTGGGTTTTGTCCTTCAATGTTCAGTATATTATCTCCTGCTATGCCCGACATATTCCCACTTGTCTGCCTCGCTGCTTGCATAGGACAAGTTGTCTTTGTTCCCGAACATGGTGATGTTCCTTCGACCTTGCAGCTCACGTGTCTATAAAAAGCAACAGGATGTGATTACTGGCCTGAGAAAAGAGATGGGAAAATTACATTCTTTCCAGTCGCTCTCCATATCAATGTATTGGTGCACTGAGGTGACCACAACAAGCCGAGCTGACCAACACGAAGCACTGGACTGATTTAAATAAGGCTGAATGACACAGCACATCCTTTTATTTCCAATGACAGCTGTGTGTTTTATTTGTTCTGAACGGGAGGTTTGCTTTGAAGCAGAACTCGAGTTCATGAAAAAAGTTCTCCCTGTAAGTAGCTAAAGTATATGCCGACCTCTTCTGCTGTCCATGTTCTTGAAAGGCAGTCACTCTAGTTTTGATGAATACTCTACACAAGTGCCCTTTGAAACCAAATGTTTGGGCAGTGTCAGTGATCAGTGGTTCTTCCACATCACTGCTGTGTTTTATGATGGCCTGGGGGGTCGGTGGGAGGAGCCTTGCAGTATTTGGGGTCCCTGATTTGAATCCCGGCCAGGACACTATTTGCATGTTCTCTGTGTGCTTGCATGGATTTCCTCCAGGTACTCCGGTTTCCTCCCACACTCCACATGGAAGGTTAATGGGCTCCTCTGTAAATTGACGTATGTATGTGAGATAGGGACTTTGGATTGTAGTTTCCTTATAGGCAGTGACTGATGTGACTGTGTAGTATGTAAAGCTCTGCGCAAATTGTCCGCACTATATAAATACCTGTAATGTAATATAATATACCTATTCCCTCCATACCCCCCAAACCCCACTCCAAAAAAAGAAAGGTGTGTGTGTGTGTATATATTATGACCTACAGAGAGTAAAGATGCAGCTTGTTTCAGTGGGGAAAGGGTAAGGTGTAAACTGATTGCAGACAGGTGGCTGTTGCCTATTAGAGTATTCTGTAGGTAGTCTTTGCTTCTAAGTAATGCAAAGGCAGCTTCAAGCCTGACACATGGGGAGCGTGTGTCCTGACCCGTCTGGCCTACACAGACAGGCTGCTGAACCAAACTGAGGCTTGAGACCTGGAGATTGTGAAGGGACAGAAGCAGTCCGTATTTAAAGAGACCGGTGTGTCTGAACTAAGCAAGCGAGTAGACAACAGATCCAGGCTGGTGATTGAATTAACCAGTTCAGCAGGGAGACTGCCACTGATGCAGCTCTGTCCTAAGGAGGAATAGACCGCTGTGCAATAATATAGCCAGGAGGCTGCAATCAAGTGTGTGTTCCTGGTTATGCTAAACAACCCCTGTGTGGGCAAAACACATACTTTAATGCCTAGATAAAAGTGGGCAAAAAATCCTTAAAACACAATCTGCTGAATGGACCTAGTCCTTGGAAAACTCCAAATCTGGCTGCGGTCCGGTGATGCCAGGTCTTCTTCCTCTGACGAAGACAATGAGTAGCCCTTAAGCTGGCCACCCACTGCTGTCGGAATACAGTTGCTCAGCTGAGGAGGATTTTCCCATCTATGCTTTTTAGCTTTGATGGAAAAATTGAGCATTTTTGGCCAGTATTACATCTGCACCGGATAGCACTCGCATTATGACATGTGAGTGTTTAACGCAGCAGAGCTCTGAGCCCGGGGCAGTGTGATGTGCCCCTGGACCTCTAGTGTCATGGGGGGGTTTCGGCCTTAGACCCCTCTAGACTGGAAATCAGTATTGCAGCAAAATCTGTGTTTTTTACTTTAAAAAGTGCATGTCTGTGTATTCCTTTCTGGAGTTCTTCTTTAAAGTAAACCTATAACAAACCTGGACCGTTCGAACTGACATACTGAACTATGTGTCACAATATTCAGTACCTCCAGATACGTGGGAATCTTTAGTTACATGCAAATCTCAATGTTTCCTATCACTGTAGAGATGCTTCTAGCTGAGAAGTGATGCGTTAAATGAAACCGGGTGATTTTTATTAATGAAGAACTTTCTACTGTCTCCTTTTTTGTTTTTAGATGAGGACACAGGAGAAACCAAAATTGGAACTTTCTGTAAAAATGGCGGCTGCTCAAAGGTACAAACAGACAACTGAATTTAGATGTCTTATGCCTCGTTCTGACAACATAGGTCTGCCATCATTCCACCCCTTCCCCATCACCACCACCTTCCTTCCTTTGTACAACTTCTATCCAGTCCTGTCCCTGTCATTCTTCATCTGGTCCATTGTGAATGCTGCACACAATCACACCTTCATGGTGTTAAGATGTCTCTATTCTGTGCACTTATTCATATTTTCTGCCCCCAGACATTTGCTGGACCACGGAGTAATGAGGAAGTATGTCAGTATCATGCTGGTGTGCCTATCTTCCATGAAGGGTATGTATGATTGTGTGTTCATGATTAATGTTATAGCCTCTCTACATGTTTAAATGCCTACATTTTTAAAGTTCTGTGTCATAAAGAAGAACCATTATATTTTCTGCACATTAGTTACATTTTTTTTCCTTGACACTTGTTAGGATGAAATATTGGAGCTGCTGCAAGAGGAAAACGTCAGATTTTAATACCTTCTTATCGCAAGAAGGGTGTGCGAAGGGCTCACATTTGTGGATTAAGAAGGATGACGTAAGTTCAGCGTTTGAAGAACATCAGTTACAATGTCTGTTTATGGAAACATGATTACTGTATTGGCAGCAGAAATTTGCAGCGCTTATGAAAGCATCATTGTAACCATTCATGTCGTCTGATTTTCTGTGCACTGCTTACAGAATGTAAATGACAATCTGGGGGTTGTGCATCATTTTTATGGACATTTGCCTGTAACAGTAAAATGCATCCAAAGCTGCTATTCTCTTATTGTGTGCGGGTGTCTTAGTGGTTGAAATGGGTAGTGAATCCAGCTGGGGGAGGATTTCGGCACCATACTGGGCATACCATAGAATACATCAATGGATCTGCGGGAGGCAGACCTCTGTGCTGGATTTTTGTTGATTTGCAGACAGTTGCACATTTGCCTGGAAGGTATAACATAAATGTATTCATGTGAATAGCAATGTTGTTCTGTAAAAAAAAAAAATTGTAATGCTGATTTAAAAAAAAAATCTGCATGGGCAAAGGGACAGGTTCTCCCTTCCCAGCTACTGATAGTCATCTTTACTGTGCTCCATTCACCTGATGGAGCAATGGGTCTAATCCCTGTGTGAGATCTGTTTCCCAGCTTATATAGGGATAATTACCTTCTTACTGTCAACAAGGAGGGTTCAGGCCTGGTGACTGGCTGCTGGGTACTGTGCACTGCATTATGGGAGAAAGATAGGGTTGCATACTTCCCCCTTACCTGTAAGTAGACTGTGGCAAAGGCAGTTTACCTGAAGTTTTACTTTAATTAGAGTAGAGAAGAGTTTCTTATCCTAGTGAAGCAGTTTTACTGCTTCAGTAGAGGGGTGCAGCATGTCAGAGAACTTGCCACTTTACCTAAAGGGGTCAAGTTACAGGTTCTCTTTAAGAGGACCTTTACCCATATCTTTGAAATAGCAACAAGCACACCTTTAGAAATTAGTGATGACAATCTACAAACACATACTTCTAGATAATTGCCGGCTTTGTATTCTTTGCATGCCTTATTTCTCTTTTCTTCCCCAGTCTTCTGACAGTGGCCATTTTTACTAAGGGCAGATTATTATATCCCCCTTTCCTTCCTGGAACTCTTGACACATGTGACTATGCACATCATCTCGGGAGGAAAATGCATTTCCCTGAGATCTCATAAGGTTACAGATGAGATTTCCCAGCAATGCTCTGCTGATGTACCCTTCCCAGGATGCAATGTCTGCGCACTTACATCATTTGTGCCCAAGAGGACCAGGAAGTAGAAAAAAAGAAATTGTAAGTAAAATAAAAACATAGTTTGTTTCTCTAATGATTGTGAGATGGTTTCATAGCAGCATGCAGAGCTGCATGCCGGTGTGATTTTTAGTCATAGGGGGTAAAGGTCTACTTTTAAAGTAATCTTTAAGAATACAGCTGCCTTACTAGGAAAGGAAACTCTTCTCTATTTTCATTAAAGTAAAACTCCCCAAGTAAACCGCAAAATACATTGTTTAATTACATTTGTGGTTGTTCAGTATAGCAGAGATGTGAAATCTCAATTGGAAATCATTTGGCGTGTAAACTTGTATGCATTCCCTTGAGTTCCATTGTAATATCTTTAATACTAGGTTTTAGTAGTATTATGAGCAGCTTTTATCCATGGAAGCTTTAGTGGCTCAGCCCACCCAAAGCTGATGTTTCAGTTTGTTGGTAGGTAATGCGATTAATAGTTCACTTTAAAGGAGAACTATGAGGTGTGTGAAAATCACTCAGCCTCATAGTTCGAGCCGACGTGTGACAATGAGACTGTCACAAGTCGGCTCAATAGATCGGGAAGTGAGGGAACACATACCGTCGCTCGCTCACTTCAATAACGCAGCTGGGTGGATCTCGACAGTAATGTCGGGATCCGTCCTGGCTGTGGCGGTCTCAGTATACCGAGCTTTGGGTCAGCGGAGGACGCTAGTTTGTGTCCTCCCGTGACCCTTAGGAGAACTATGGGGAAAAACACTGACCCCATAGTTCTCCTTTAATGAAAACTGGATAGGAAGCCTTTACTTCAGTGGTTCTCAACGTTTCTAGGGCCGGGACCCCTTGGTAATATTTGCCAAGTTGTGGTGACCCCCAAAGGTAAAATTTGGGGATGACGCGGCTGCTGCAGCGACATCTGGAGGCGTGGCAGGAGAACTGACACTGCTGCGCTAGGAGAGTCCTGAGGAGGACTCTCACCTTGCACAGTGACCCACAGGCTGAGAACCACTGCTATAGGCAAAGACAGGACCGGGCTCTGCAGCTCTAACTAGAAGAATTGGATTTAAAGTGTGTGGCTATATAACATATGAGGTACATACTCCGCAGTACTGTCACTGATAGGGATGGGCTCGGGCGTGTTCACAGCTCCCCGTGCCGAGCCCGCCAGGAAGCTGACAGCGCCAATCACAGGCACTGAGACATTTCCCGATCTCTGCAGCTGCGGACCGGGAAAATGGAATGCATAGCTAGAGGTGTGTTTTACATATTTTTTTGCTTGAATACATACATATTGCAACCGCCCTCCGCTGCTGTCAATCACTAGAAGGGGACCTGATGCTATTGTTTTTTTCAAAGTGAAATAGCCAATAGGAATCTAGCTATGCATTCCTATGGTGGGGGGGTTTCTCACTTATGGCGGCCCCCGATTTAAAAAAAAACAAAAACAGAGCATAGAAAGGTCCCGACCTTTCCGGGAGAAAGTGTCTCTCTCCCGGCAGCCGAGAGCCACTAGGCGACCCCTGGCAAATCGTCATTCGACCCCCCGAGGGGGTCCCGACCCACAGGTTGAGAACCACTGCTTTACAGGGTACACAGCTTACCTGTTCAACTTTAGTTTTTCACCTAGGCATTGCTGTGTTGAACTAGGACACCCCCACTGCATTTAGTTGATTTGAGAATCCATTTTGCCTATCTATTATGTAGGAGAAGAATTCCCAAACACTCCCACTGCAGGATCCTTACTATGAGGCTGTGAAATCTCAGTTCCTTTACCCTTTTATTACCTAATTCACACAGGATCTTGGCAGCCCTTTAATGTAAACACACAGCAGGTGATTCTTTCATATGGGCCGTCCGATCGGGTACGCCTGTCAGTTTTTCAGATGCACCCAATTGGATGCCCAATGGTAGTCTAAGGCAGCCGGGTGCAAACAGACAGGTGTTTTGTTTACACCCGGTTACCCCCGTCTTTGGCCCGGTCCATGAAAACAAATGGAACAGAGTTTTGCTGGACCTGATCTTACCAGAACGGGGGGTATAGACTGACCATAGACCGACATGGAGTCCGGCCGTTTTAGTTCTTTCCTCCATTACAAGATGCAGTTAAAAACTGGATGGATCCCCTCCTGATCAGCCCATAGAAGCAGACTCAAACCTGACTCTTTGTTGTGATCTTTGAGAATGAATTCCTTCACAGTACAAGCATGGTGAAGAAGTCAGGGATGACTTGCTTTAGGGCCTGTTCACACGACGTCCTTTTTGTGTGCTGACCGGCTCCGTACGCTGCTGCACTCAAAATGCATCCCAATGTATCCCTACGTGTTTTACGGGCTCCAGTTCTCACGTGCGCAGTCCGTTCAGCTTACGACAGAAAAAATACTGCATGTCACATTTTGTCAGGTCCGGATATGCAAACGCGCACGAAACGCAACGAAAACGCAACAAAAACGGAAACGCAACGCAATGCAGCTAAGGGGGAAAAAAAGAGAAAATTGTATTCTTGCTCCACTTATTATGACGACATCAACATTGACAAAAAATTAACTGTCAGCATCCGGACCGAAAACGCGTCAAAAACGCACTGCATCAGCAGCTCCACGTCTGCTGATCAGCACCTGATCAGGACCTGATCTCATGTGAACAGGCCCTTAAAGCTCTTTTACTGCTTGTTCAGAATACTTGTTTATCCTGCCTGTGAAGTCCACCTAACGCAGCTTCATGTGATAGGGTGACAACACTGCTGCACTGATCCTGAATTGTGCGCTACACGGCAGTATGGGTTACAGATGCACCGGCCGTGGGGGAGCCGAAAGGGCAGTATTGGGGTGGGAGGGGTTCACAGATTGTAGGGGGTAACACCATTTTTCCCAGAGTCACCTGGGAAAGTGGAGTTACCCTGTAACTAGAGAAAAGGCCCCCCTCCAACTACGCCATTCTGCCTCCAAGCCGCTCCTAATGGCCAATGGGGTGGCCCATCATCTTGCCGGACCTGTTTTAAAGTGTAGGAGACAGGGTTGCTTGGACAAACTTGAACACTACCAGAAAGTGCCATGGCTTTGCCTAATTCAGAATGACCCTGTGTATGGGGGTGAAGGGATTTAAAAAGGGACTGTCACTTTACTTAAAATGTGGATAAATCTTGTGTGTTTTTTTGTTTGTTTTTGTTTTTTTAATCTGCATGTCTGAGGTTGAAGGGCTTAAAAATCAACAGCCCGACACCCATTAAATAATATCTAAGCCCCAAAAACCACAATGCAATATATTGCAGCTTATAAGTCCTTCTATGTGGCGGCTGCATTCAATTTCTTTCGTCAGGCTCTTTACCTTTTAATTTTCCCCTGGTGAATCCTGCCAATAACACACTTCCTGTCCTTGTGTCTATTCACACTTCTCTATGGTTAAACCATAAACATGGACCAGTATGGGACGTTGTACAACACTGGCCTTGTTAGTGTGGTGGTCATATAGCATTGGACCATGTGTTTGCGCAGGAATAGAATTCATTTTGAAGCAACACTATAACATGTTCAACTGTCTAATCTTTCTTTTAGGGTAAAAAGGTTGTTCCGTGTCGGCATGACTGGCACCAGACAGGTGGAGGCGTCACCATCTCAATCTATGCCAAAAATTCCATTCCAGAGCTCAGCTACGTAGAGGCCAATAGCACCGTGGTAAGTTCCAGCAACCGTTATCTCGCTGTGGTTGGCTAAAATCTCTTGCTTGCGACCTATTGGCAGAGAAGAGGTGTTACGGGGTCCATTGGAGGGATTTTATCAAAGATTTCACAGATCATTCAACTGGGTAGGGGAAGGAAACAGTTAACCTCTGCCAAGGTTCTCAAGTTGCAATTTGGAATACGTGGCTCTGTAATGTTGGGCGGTCTATGTGATGTAATCCAGCAGTTCTGGATGTAGTTGGCAAAAGGGCAAAAAATATTTGCATGGCTCTGCCAATTATCCTAAAATAAAGGGGATAAGTCCCTTATTTTTTGGTATTTGTGATGAGATGAGGAGTTAAAGGAGAAAATCGTCAGTTCAAGCCGACGTGTGACAATGAAACTGCCACACGTAGGCTCAATAGATCGGGAAGAGAGCGAACACATACCGTCGCTCGCTCACTTCTTGATCATGTCCCTGCAGAGACCTGTGACTGTCAGTCACCGCTCCCCGCAGGGATTCTCCCCCTCCCCTCTCCGATCCTCCAGCGCTGACTGGAGGAACGGACGGGGAGGGGGCGGGTACAGCTGGCTCTGCCTCTAGATAGGCGGAGCCCGTTGTCACTCACGCAGCTGGGCGGATCTCGACAGTAATGTCTTGGATCCATCCCGACTGCGGCGGTCTCAGTATACCGCGAGCTGTAGCTCAATATATACTGAGCTTTGGGTCACGGGAGATTCTAGTATAGGTCCTCCGTGACCCCTAAGATAACTATGGGGGAAAACACTTACCCCATAGTTCTCAAGTGTTTATAGTTGGCAGTTAATTCAGTGGCTTATTTTGGCACATGGCTTATTGCTTTTTTCTGTGTATCTTGGCTTATTGTGCTGAACGTATACTTTTAAAGCACACCTTCGGGAACCAGGAAGTGTTGTCTTATAATGTTACTATGTCAGCTATGATCGTGATGGTGATCAAATGCAGACTGGAGGCTTTATTCACAAAGAAATCCTCTGGTGTGCAGATAAAACTGTGTTACTGGTTAATACTACTATCGACATATACAAATACAGTATTAAAAAAACAATAATGAATTAAAATATTTTCATAAATATATAATAAACAGAGCAGGGGTTCTAATAAAACACAATGCCAAATAAAAATCTGTAGTGTCCTTACAATGTGCACATTCCTACTGAATTTCACTTCACTTCTCACATAAAGTGCCCTTTTATGGTCTTCCAGGTCAACATTCACATAGTGTTTGATGGTGAGAAAGAATTCCAGCAGCATCTACAGTTATGGGGGGTAAGTATTGTTCCTTCGTTTTGTTGAGCTGTTGGCTTTGTCTCTTCTGCCTTTTTCTAGAAGATGTAGTATAACCCTGTTACATAGTTGTATGTTCCCAATGTGTTTAAAGCTTTAAGCATAATGAAACCTTTGCGGTTTTTAGCATATATCTACGGCTAGCAAGCCACAAAAGTTAAAACCACAAAAGTTAAAACTAGGGATGCATTGATACTAGTATCGGTATTGGTGCTGATGCAGAGTATTTGGGCGAGTACTCGTACTCGCTCAAATACTCCGATGACTAGCCCGCTACTTCCTGTATCAGGAAGCCGGGCAGTGTGTCATTACACGATGCCCGACTTCCTGATTGGTCGGGAAGCTGGCCAATCAAGAAGCTGGGTGCCGTGTAATGACCTGGCACCAGGCTTTCTGCTTGGCCGGGAAGCCGGCTTCATGCTCCCTCCTCACTTCATGACAAGAAGCATGGGGATGGCTTCCCTGCTAATTGGGAATCCGGGTGGCGAGTCTTTACACGCCGCCTGGCTTCTTTAATGGGACTTCTGGTATTGGCGAGTACCGGAAAAAAAAAATCTGTACTAGATAACTAAATACCAGTATCGGTGCATCCCTAGTTAAAACTTTCCTGTGTCTCCTTCACTCGCTCCCCTCCGAAGTTCTGAAAATTCTCGGGCAGCCACAAAGAATCATGGGGGCGGGTGCATGCGCAGTACAGAACTTTGACCGGGAGAAGGAGAGACGCAAGGTAAGTCTATGCAAGCAGCCCGGCAGCTTGCACCCCACAGCTTGTACCCTCCTCCGTGGGACACAGAAGACACGGCAGTGAGCGCTGGATTAGAGACCGGCACCAGTGCTGGAGAGACTCCTGAAAACTACTGGAAAGAAGAAGATGAACGGATCAAGAGGCATCATTTAAGGTAAGTCCTTACACCAGCATGAGGGGGAGGAAACAAAATTTGACTTTAATGTCACTTTAATTCCAGGCAAGCTGCTAAATACACGGTATGAAATACAGATATAGGACCTGTTTCATCTGTAGTGTTAAGTAACATAGCTAGGTCACCTTCCCATCCCCAGAATATGTTTGAACAATGAAGAATCAGCAGCAAATGGTGATGCAGTTATCTCAATGAGGCAAAAGAGGGAATAATGAGCGAGTGACTAAAAGATGCAGGAAACGCATGCTGTAACGTCTTGCCTCTCGTGGTTTCTCCTTGGGTATATATATGAAGACTTCATGTTGGCTGGTGGCTATGACATCTCGTCCTGCAGTAGCTAATGATGTCCATGGCAGGAGATACCTCTTTGCTCTGTTTGTGTTTTGAGTTGTCAGGACTTTTAAAATGTAACTCCAGTATCGGATCGTGTGGGCAAGAGTTAAGAGAACTATGGCGTAACCTTTTTATCACATAGTTTCTTTAGGGTCACGTATACTAACCTGCTCCTCCTGTGACCCAAAGCTCAGTATGAGAGCGCCGCAGCCGGGACAGATCCCGACAATACGCTTGAAGATCCACCCAGCTGGCTGATTGACAGCTGGCTCTGCCTATCTAGAGGCAGAGCCAGCTGTGCCCACCCCCTCCCCCGTCCGTTCCGCCAGTCAGTGCTGGAGGATCGGAGAGGGGAGGGGTGACAGTCACTCTCTCTACAGGGACAGGATCGAGAAGTGAGCGAGTAACGGTATGTGTTCGCTCACTTCTCGATCTATAGAGACGACGTGTGACAGTTTCAATGTCACACGTCAGTTCTAACTATGAGGTGTAAATCACTCACCTCATCTCCTTTAAATTTCTATCAGCCCACATTCTGTCCCTGCAACACCTGTACAAGGAATGGAGGGGGGCGCTTGTAACCAGAACAGGAAGGTATGGATGGCTATAAAAGCATTGTCAAAAGTTCTAACCAATCACTCGGGATCATTTGTCCTTTTCCAAATAAAAAGTTTTGGCTGAAGTTGAGCAATCAATTGTGTTTACAGCCTTCTGATGGTATGTACACTGTGGAATTTTTTTTTTTTTTTTGATAACTTTAATCTTTTTGTCTTCAGGTTATTGATGTCCAAAAAAGTTATGTGACTTTAACAGCAACAAAGGTGGAAATTTTCTTGAAAAAGTCAGAGCCAATGACTTGGGCCCGACTAGAGTTACCTCAGAAAGTTGCACCTCCACCTCAACCTACGGACTCTGAAGAAGTCCAAGAATGACCTGGGACCAAAATGGAATGCTGGCTGGCAGTAGGAAATGAAGTGTCATGTTTCGCTGACTGAGAATTTGTGTTCAAAATACAGCTTTACTATATTTATCCTTACTCGGTGCACGTCTAGTTACGTCTCCTCTGTATATGTTTCGACGGCAATACAAAAGCATTCCGTTCATCTGTGATCTTCACCAAGGCAGTGTCTTCTCTTTTTATTGAGGACCTACTCCTTAATAGAGCTTCTCAGTTTTGTTGGGGAGGGGGCAGAGTTTAGTACCATGCTGGGACCCGGGGGAGCACCCTTCCTCCATCTCCAGCTTTGACGGGCATTTTAAAGACCACAGTCTCACAAATTTTGTGTATCTTTTTGTAAATATGCTGCTCTGCATATGCCATCCATATTCTCCCTGGCAGTCTCAGAGCCTGCCATGGAATCTGTGCTGGCCTGTCACTTCCAGGCCCGATGACCCTTTGCCGTCACTTAGTCACTTCCTCCCCAGCCTGGCTGTCATGAACATACCAATGGGTGGGTGTTAATAATTGCAGAATCCTGAACTACACAACCCACCCACTGCAAACACCACCCTTTGCCACTCCCACCAGCTAGCAGTGCGCATTGTCACATGGGTCTTGGTAGTCCCACAGCAACAAAGCACGCCTCTAGCTTATTGCACATGTACAACACCAGTCTTCTCCAATAGTGCTTTGTTGGTCACTTGACTATAAAGATAATGCTATCCTGGAGATGAGCTTTAAGCTGCTGTTACCAGTCTGAATTCTCTTTATATTTCGATGTAGAATCCACAAGAATGAGCAAAGTCAGGGAGTACTGTAACATGTGCCCTCTAGTGGGTCATCTATAGGAATATAGGAGAGTTCAGGACAATGATACATTTAGCTTGGCTGAAAAGCCAAGTTCAGTCTGTCACTGGTTGCCTGCATTGAGGGTATGTAACCAAAAAATAAATACCAAGAATTAGATTGAACTCCGCTCTTATCTACCAAAACTGAGCAATGGGCTGAGTTTAATTTTACATTAATAATGCAATATTGGGGTTTTTTGTTAGTCACTTTTTACTCCCCTTCTTTAAAGGGACTTGTAAGTGAAATCCATCATCTGTTCCTCTCTGTGTTGTAGTGGAGGGCTCACTTAGTTCAGGAGTTTTAGCAGGTTCAAGATCTGCAATTCCAGATTGGAATGCAGGGTCACCTCCTGATTAAAATCCGGTTCTATATTCTCTTTTAGGGCCGGTTTACACCACACCCTGTTCCATTGCGTTCGGCCGCTGGAACGCAAGCCGGCCAGCTCCCTGCGTTAAGGGGCGGGAGGGGGCAAGGTGGTGCATTGAAGTCAATGGAACCGCAGCCAGGCCCCCTCCTGTACCCGGAACGCAGGAGGCACATTAGTGCCTGCGTTCCGGTCCAGTGCGATCTGCAAAAATAATACTTGCAGTATTTTTGCAGAACGCATTGGACCGGAACAATTGTGCTGCGGGTGGGGGGCGTGGCTGCGGTGCCATTGACTTCAATGCACTGCCACGCCCCTGAACGGAGGGAGCCGGCCGGCCAGTTGAGGACTAACTTTTAACATCAAAGTGTAGGGAGAGGGAGCTAGGGTCCAGAAACAAATAGGATTTTCTTGAAAACTCAATCTGTCATTCATACCCAGGGGGGACCATTATCTGGACTTAGAAAAGAGTGACATCTTGTGGCACACATTCCCCCATGCCACTACAATGTCACCAGTCCTAGAACATCATGCCTTGGAATATTGGCCCCATCCAGCACTGGTGCACTAATAACGGTCTCAATGCAATATTTAATAAAATACTATTAAAGCATTGCTGTCAATGTTATTGCTCTAAGCCTTATAGAACGTGTTAATTTTGTATTTTCACATTGTCACATACTATATTGTATATTTAAATCTTTTGTAAATATCCTATTTGCCGGTAATGTTTTACTTTGTTGCCCGTTTACTAACAAATTATGTTTAATGATGGTATTTTGAAATTAAATTCTGTAAACCTACGTTTCTCATTGTTGCAATCAGAAGTGGAGCTGAGGTCGGTCATGACCAATCCATGCCACCTGCTTGGCTCTCTTTGTGCAAACTCTGAACAATGTGTAATTTGATTTGTTGCCATGGGCAGAGCTGCAATGCCTGTAAGGCCACTGTACCTTAGACAAGTTAGATAAATCACGTCGTATTGAACTGTTCCTCGTGTCTGTACAGAAATGGGGATATCTGACATCATCTGAAACTTTGCAAAGCTGCTTCTTCTATGTGAGCTGCCAAGTTAGATAACAAAGTGACCGTTGGTAGTTTCCTACTATTGAATTACTGGACAGGAAGTCATGTGTGTGCTGGAAATACTGCTTCAGACTAGATCATCTTTACCCTGTAGGAAAACTATAGTCAAAGATCATCAGCATTTTTAGTTATTAGCGAATGTCTACTTGATGTTTGCATATAAGCTTCATATGTCCCTCTGAAGTCCAGCACTTCTAGTTTGGAGATGCCACCAACATTGATTTATGGTGCGTCAGCTTGGCCTTTGGCTAAATGTTTGTGGATAGCTAACCTCTCACCTATGTGAGCTTGTTGAATATCCCATTCCTAAACCATGGGCATTATTATGGAGGTGACACCCGTCAGCTTAGTTATACCGGCCTCCAGTGTTCTGGGAAGGGTTTCCACAAGATTTTAGAGCCTGTGGGAATTTGTGCCTATTCAGCCAAAAGAGCATTTGTGAGGTCAGGTACTGGATTTTGGACCAGAAGACTTGGCTGACAATCGGCGTTCCAATTAATCTCCAAGGTTCAGTAGGGTTGAGGTCAGGACTCTGTGTAATCCACATAAGTTGCTCCACATCAAACTCATCAAACCATGTCGTTATAGAGATGACGTTTTGCATGGGGCACGTCATGCTGGAACAGAAAAGATCCCTCACCAAACTGTTACCACAAGGTCTAAAAGGTCTGTATGGTATTAACCATACCCTTCATGGGAAACACCGGACATTATTCATTTGGGGTGATTGGTCAGGTGTCCACACTTTTGGCCATATTTTCCATGTTGAGGGCCACACTAGCAGCTTCTGTCCTTGTCTAGAACAAGTTCTATCTGGACAATATCTGATTTGGATCTTGAGCTGTTCTGTCACTGTGTCTAAAAACAAAACACTGATGTGCTCAGCAGCTTCTTCTTATGTGTTGCAAAATTTTGAGTTTTTTCCTTAGAGTTTGATTTGTCTTTTCTGAGAATCTCCTGAACTTTTTCACATTTGTCCAGGACTGTTATTAAAACTTTTTCATGAACCATTTTAGCTATCCGTGTAGTCTGGTTTTTTGCCTCTCCATTTTCTGTCCAGTAATTTAGTTGGAGGATGCCACATTTGGGCTGGCCATAGCCTTCATGGGTTTATGTCAATTTTTAAAGTGTTTCTGACTGTATATGAACTGATCTTTTTATATGGCTTAATGTCCTCATGATGTGTATAAAATCTTTATTTGATGAAGAAACATTTAAAGGAGAACTATGAGGCGAGTGCTTTTTACTCACCTCGTAGTTCTAGCCGACCTGTGACAATGAGACTGTCACAGGTCGGCTCAGTAGATCGGGAAGTGAGCGAACACATACCGGCGTTTGCTCACCTCCCGATCCTGTCACAGCTCTCTGCCGTGACAGGGGAGAGGCTGGATCCCCTCCTCCCCGATCCTCCAGCGCTGACTGGTGGAACAGATGGGGGAGGGGACGGGGGAGATAGGCAGAGCCAGCTGTCACTCACGCAGCTGGGCGGATCCAGACATAATCGTCGGGATCCGCAGCTGGGGATCACGCAGCTGCGGCGTCTCAGTATATCGCTCGCAGTATACTGTGGCGTCTCAGTATACCGCGAGCTGTAGCTCGCGGTATGCTGAGCTTAGGGTGACGGGAGGACGCTAGTTTGTGTCCTCCTGTTACCCTAAGGAGAACTATGGGGAAAAGCCCAAACGCCATAGTTCTCCTTTTTAATGCAGGTTCAGTGCACTCTTAGTCATAAGAGGCCTAGCTGTAGCGGCTCGCTTGTTAACTGTGGCTCTCAAATTGATCATCAAAAGCTGTATGAATTTGAGGCGGGGATGTCCATCCCCTGACATCTTGAACTGTGTGCTTTGAGCCACCGGGGATCCTTTTACTGTATTTACAGCACTGAAGTAAAGAGCTGCAGAAAATTTGCTATCATGAGATGTTGTCGATCCGCCTGATTGTCTAGTAAACATCAAATGTTCCTATTCTGAGTTTTCTATTTATCTAAAAGATTACTGATTGTAATCGTTACTGCTGACAATAAATATGTATAAAATCGCTGTACATTCCCAATAAAGATCAGACTAGTGAGCCCAAGTCTGACAGTTTGTATGGCAGACGCAGTTGTCTTTAAAGTAGAATTAAACCTTTTTGGGGTTTTTGTTTTTTTTTTGCATATGTCTAATTCTAGCCAGCACTAGATATATGCAAAAACATTAAAAAAATAAAAAAGTTACCAAAAAGGTGAAAACATGCCTGCGTCTCCACGCACACTCCCGTCTGAAGATCTGAAATTTCAACCTGCACGGCCGCTCGAGATGGGGCGGGTGCATGCGCAGTAGAGATCTTAGGCGGGGAGAAGAGAAGAGACACATGTGGTGAATACACGCAACTGAGAACGTGCACTTCAGACACCGTGGGACCCGAGGAGTCTGCGATGGATCAGTGACCGGAACCAGCGCTGGAGGGATTGCTGAATACAAGTGGTAGCTAAAAAAAAATGTTTTAGGCAGGGTCCCTCCTTCCACTTGCACTTTCCTGGATTAACAACATTTAATTTAATAAATTCGGCCTAATCTATGAGGTGCCTAAAAGATCATATTTGTCTTTACTACTGTACCTAGAACCACTAAAAATGTAGACACTGATTCTTATGCACAATACAAAGAGTTCTTTCATACTTAAAGTTTTAAGTTAAAGCAACTGTCGCTAATATATATAAAAAAAATAAAAATTTAGGGATGCTCCGATGGCATTATCTAAATCAGGGGTTGCCAAACTCCGGCCCTCCATAAGTGGTGAAACTACTTGACTGGTGAGGAAGCCTGTCATCATCCAATGGGCCAATCAGCGGGAGAAGAGGTCAGAATGGAGCAGATGACTAGGCTGTGACACAGAGTGGCTGAAGCAGATGGAGAAGACGACACAGCAGGTTAGTACTGCAGCACTGCATGGGGGCTGGGCACAAAATAGCTGTTTAACTACATATAAATATTTATAAAGAAATAACTATGTAGATATTGCTAACTTAGGCTTGTATCCCCCTAGTGGGGAAAATAGATGAGCACATGTCCAAACTCCAGACCAGAACATTGTATAGTGTGAAACAGCTATATCCAATTCTGCATACCTGGCTTTATATTATAAACAAATGTAATAATAATATAAAGCCAGTTATACAGAATTGGATATATCTGTGCCACACTATACACTGTGTTCTGGAGTCTGGACATGTGCTCATCTATTTTCCCCACTAGGGGGATACAAGCCTTAGTTAGCAATAGCATGATCTAAATTTTAATTTCATTATTCAATGTCTTTTTTTTATATTATACATTTTGTAATATAAAAAAGGACATTGAATAATGAAATGAAATAGTTAGAGCATGCCATTGCTAACTAAGGCTTGTATCCACCTAGTGGGGAAAATAGATGAGCACATGTCCAGACTCCAGATCACTGTATAGTGTGGCACAGCTATATCCAATTCTGTATAACTGGCTTTATATTATTATTACATTTTTTTTATAATATAAAGCAAGGTATGCAGAATTAGATATAGCGGTGCCACACTATACAGTGTTCTGGTCTGGAGTCTGGACATGTGCTCATCTATTTTCCCCACTAGGGGGATACAAGCCTTAGTTAGCAATATCTGCATAGTTATTTCTTTATTTAATGTCTTTTTAATATTATATGCAGTTAAACCGCATTTTTGTGCCTGGAGATCCGAACCATTTAAATTACCCTTTATCTCATTTTTGGCAACCAGATCCGTAACCAAAATGAACCCTATATACCAAAAAGATAACCAACTAACAAGAGTGGCTGGTTTAAAAAGGGTTAACAGAGGATTGGGACAAGTATTCCAATTACAAAAAGAGTTTATTAGATAAAATATCAGTTTTGGACATAAACATCATATCACTAACTGGTATAAAAAAAAAAAACATAAAAGCATGACATACAATTCTAAATCTTCAGGTATGCAGATGTGTTTAGCATATATGAATGAGAGCACATTATACAATCAGCTGACACCAAAGGATAATACGTTCCATATAACGTATTATCCTTTGGTGTCTGCTGGTATCTGAAATACACGTATTCATCTCCAGTGGGAGAAACAAGGAAGTTACATAGTACCTCCTTCTTAAAAATCAGTTTCTTTCCCACATGGTTTCAGCTGATTAGCACCAGAAGTGTCAGATGGTGAACATTTCTATTGCAGTTGTCTCTACAACAGAGCAAAGATTGTAGTCCCTAAAGACAGAACTGGCGAGTATTATTGTTATACAGGCTGTTTTTGGTTTTATTTTTGCGAGGCACACTTTAATAAAATAGTGGGCTGGGAGGATGTTAGTAACTAAGTGCCCAGGGTGTACCTGTGTACTGCTTGGTTAGGGGGGCCGCGAATTAATACCACTGACTTAAATGGTAAGTCTGGCAAAACAGATATTTCAGAGGTTGGGGTGTCTACCATTGGTCAACATTCTCTTTGTAGATGATAAATGGCAAAGCTCTGGGTTTGTGCAATACAAATATTCCCAAATACATTCTAGGTAATCAAAACTAAAAAGAAAATTTGGTATTTGTTTTATTTTGTTGAAAACACCTTCCCTTGTCAAAGAACCTTATTCTGACTACGATTGTTGTGTTACTGACTTATCCCTTGCTGAGACCTCTATGCCTGGCCTGTATAAGCGGATACAATCAATGAGGACAATCATTGTCAGATAGCTGAACTCACCAATACCTTTTCAGCCACAAGAGTTGCTTTATTCTGTACATCAGATAACAGCGATGAATGGTCTCAGTATTATGCGGTCAAAAGATGATGCTTTAGTGGCATACTATGTGGAATACATGTGTCCAGTAGCTGCATCCATGACACAGGAAGTACTGACCAACAAGAAGGGTGGAGCATTACACACAGGAAATGTGTGGTAGATATTAGAGAAAGGAACATGAAAAACAAGTGCATTACCACAAAGTGTCACTAGATGGCAGCATGTGAACTAAATATTAAACGTCCATAGGAAAATGATTTAGGGAAAACGCACCATATAAATTCTCATCTAAATAAACTTCTATGCCCCATTGGGGCGGCACAAACCTCTTTAAATTGTGGTCCCTAAACTATATGGGCTCCCAACTTGGGACATGCCTTGGAGGTAGTCCTTTACTCCTTTAATAAATGCCTCCACCCCCTGCATGCAGCCTACTGTTTGGGGAGGCATTAATACACCTCTTGAGGATTTTCAACCTCGGGGATACTTCCTAATAGGGATGCACCAACACCATTTTTTTGTTTTGGTATCGAGTACGAGTTTTTTTGGATTTTTGTTCAGTACTCGCCGATACAGGAAGTCCCAATAAAGAAAGCCGGGAGACGTGTAATGACTCGCCGTCCGGCTTCCTGTTTAGCCGTAGAGCCTGCTTTCTGGCCAATCAGGAAGGCGGGGGGTAAGTCATTACACACACCCCAATTCCTGATTGGCCGGGAAGCCAACTCCATGCTCCCTGATGACGAGGGAGCATGGATCCAGCTTCCCGGCCAATTAGGAAGCCAAGGAGTGGGTAGTGACTTGATGCCCGGCTTCCTGATTACCGGAATTTCCGATATCGGGAGTATTTGGGAAAGTACTCGCACAAAAACTCGGTATCTCGGCACCTATAGTGATACTAGTATTGATATCGGTGCATCCCTACTTCCTAAAAAGTGACGGTTTCTATGGCATGTCCCCTGCGTTCAGCTTCTCTCCCCCTCTTGCAGTAGCACCTGTGCATAATGACACTTGTAGATAGTCTACAAAGTGTGACATTGGGTAATCCTGCGTAACAATGGATCATTACATTGCATTTACTGTTTCTATCATACGTAGCTCACAGGAGCACTTGAGTCCCAGCCGTTGTTTCAAAATGGTGCTGGGATAGCGACTATTCGTCACAGCACTGTCAAGCCTCTCCTCTCCTGATATCATCAGTGTTAAGGATTAATTTGATGCGTTAGATTAGCACTTACGGGGTTAACTTTGTCAGGTTAGATGAAATCTAAACTCCAGGCAAATCACATGGGGCCTCTGCTACTGCTAAAATATTTCTAATTCTATTCCGCCATTGTTATGGCCTAGGTATCCCTTCCAGAGAGAATAACTTGGTTGGGGACCCCCCTGCTCTGGCAGGTAAAGGGTTAAGAGTTGAAGCAGCTTTCCAGCTGATAAAAACAAAAAAGTAAACCCCACCTCCCCTGCATAGTGCCCTCCCACTTTGTTAAAAATACCCCTTATAAATGCCTTGAATTAGCAGTCTTCTAGCCAGCCGTGTAAGGAGGGTCTTCCTCTCCATGCAGCGGTGGGGGTCAGCCCCGCTGTTTGTAGTACTGGACCGTAAGCCCGGGTCAATGTGGTGACACACCCCAGTGGGTGTGTCTGTGACAGCCTGGGCTCGCAAGCAATGGGTTGATAAATGCTGGCTGTCATTCAGCCTGGAAAGGTATGGCTGCTGAACCCAAAGGGTGGTGAGTCGGCCAGGGGCAGTGCAGAAGAGGAAGTGAGTCCTTTTTAACATGCAAGGCTATTGATCTTTTTTTAATGGAGTTCTGCTTTAAATGTTCGGGATAGGGGTTCATTTTCATAGATTATGTGATAAGAGTTTGGCCTGGAGATTTTGATCTAACCTTTTAAAACGTTCAATTCAAGCCAAATAAAAGAACGGAATTTTAAAATTACAACTAGGTGGTACAGATGCCCGACAGTGTTACACAGATGGAACCAACAGATACCTAAAGGATGTTGGAGATGTGGAAAAGAATATGCTACATATATGGTGGGCCTGTGATTTGATTAGACCCCTTTGGGAAACTGTATTTAATATAGGGAATAGGCTAACGGGTGCATTGCGATGCAGTGCGTTCTGGCCAGAATCGAGCCGGAATGCACTGGTGTGAACGAGGTTTTTTTTGTTTTGTGTTGTTTTAGTATTTTTTTTTTGTGGGTAAGGGGGGGTGAGGTTGAACTGATGGGGTGGAGGAGAGAATGTGTCTGGAAAGGGAACTTTGATGAGAACGAGTTGGATGAAGATTATAATATTGAGGAAATAAAAAAAGAAATGGAGATGCAAATTAGCCGGTTATTTTAATATTCTTCTCCACTATGTTTTACAAGAGCAGTGTAAGGAGAGAAACGTGAAATAATGAAATCTGAAATGTAATGAAGATATTTATGTTTATAAATGGAAATAAAGAGATAGTAAACATAAAAAAAAAAAAGAGTTTGGCCTGGAAAACAGACATAGGCCATAGCTTGGGAGAATGGATACACACAAAAATTCTCATTGGTTTTTGGCACTCCCCAGATCTCTCGGCACTGAAGTCTGTTCACAACAGGTACACTTTAAATACAGCTAAAAGACAGAAAAAACTACTTTATATGAATATTTCATCTCTCCTCACTTCACCTAAAATACCATTTCCATTCAATAGTTCCCAAGCAGTTCCATTTCCTCCCACTGAGAAGCTTTATTCGGAGCCTTACATGCAATGAATAGATGTTTGCCCAATGTTTAAAATAGATTAGTGTCTCCAGGGTCGGGATTATAAATCTGCATAAAACCCAGAACCATACAAAGCATGTTCCTCTCACTTCTGTGTTCATGAAATGTCACTCATTTCATTTATGACAAGCCTCTCCTCACCTATTTATATGCACATTTGCTTTGAACCAAGGCTCGGCTTACTATATGTTATAAAACAGAGTGTTTTGGCACTTGTCTGTTTTATTTTGCCTGTTATGGTTTTTAGAAGCACGGATATTTTATTGACCTCGATATATTATAACACGCAGGCTAAAAATAGACCAGTCGCCGCTTCTTTGGTGTCAATTGGTATTTTGTAACCCAGGTAAAAGTTATAAGATTGAAGACTATTGTGGGGAAGAGGTAGGATCTATGTCAGATTTTTATTGATGGGCAGATCATAGAGTCCGGATAAGGTTTTTAAATAAACAATTAGTAGAAAAAGAAAGCCAACTCGTTAGACATCGCTGCTTCATCAGGGCTTTTGTAATATGTAACCTCAGGACTGGCTGGACTGGATATTCACTATATTGCCATAAGTATTGGGACACCCCTCCAAATCATTGGATTCAGGTGTTCCCTGAAATGTCCTTGCTACTAAATATTCCACGGTCACCTGTTACTGGTATTATAACAAAGTGGAAGTAACTGGGAACAGCAACTCAGCCATGAAGTGGTAAGCCATGTAAAATGACAGAGCAGGGTCAGCGCATGCTGAAGCGCACAGTGCGCAGAAGTTGCCAACTGTCTGCTGAGTCAATAGCTACAGACCTCCAAACTTCGTGTGGCCTTCAGATTGGCACAACAACAGTGCGTAGAGAACTTCATGGAATGGGTTTCCATGGCCGAGCAGCTCCATCCAAGCCTTACATCACCAAGTGCAATGCAATTCGTGGGATGCCGTGGTGTAAAGCACGTGTGTGGTGTGGTGTTGTTTTTCAGGGGTTGGGCTTGGCCCCTTAGTTCCAGTGAAGGGAACTCTTAAGGCATCAGCATACCAAGACATTTTGGACAATTTCATGCTCCCAACTTTGTGGGAACAGTTTGGGGATGGCCCCTTCCTATTCCAACATGACTGAGCACCAGTGCACAAAGCAAGGTCCATAAAGACATGGATGAGCGAGTTTGGGGTGGAGGAACTTGACTGGCCTGCACAGAGTCCTGACCTCAACCCGATAGAACACCTTTGGGATGAATTAGAGTGGAGACTGTGAGCCCGGCCTCCTCCTCCAACATCAGTACCTGACCTCACAAATGGTCCAACATTCCCATAGACGCACTCCTAAACCTTGTGGATGCCTTCCCAGAAGAGTTGAAGCTGTTATAGCGGCAAAGGGCAGAGCCAACTCAATATTGAACCCTACGGACTAGGACTGGGATGCCATTAAAGTTCATGTGCGTGTAAAGGCAGACGACCTGATACTTTTGGCAATATAGTGTATTTATACACTGCCCCTGGATTTAGCTAAGGAAATAGGTGAGAGACTTCCATTGGATAATAGGTCTAGGTTCAGCAACGTTATGTGCCAACGAAATAAGGTCAGCTGGCTACCTGAATATACTGAATGATCAGGTTTTTCCACCAATTAATTATTTCTTACCTGATGACACATTGGGCATATTCCAAGATGACATTGCCAGGATTCATCGGGCTCAGATTGTAAGAGTGGTTCAGGGGGAATGAGACATCATTGTCACACATGGATTTGCCACCACATAGTCTAGACCTTAACCCCATTGAGAATCTTTGGGATGTGCTGGAGAAGACTTTACCCAGTGCTCCGACTCTCCCATCATCACTACAAGATCTTGGTGGAAAAATGAATGCAATTCTGGATGGAAATAAATGTGTCATTGTATAACTTTATTGAAATGATGTCACAGCAAATGCGTGCCGTGATCAAAGCTAAAGGCTGCCCAACAAAATATTACAGTATGTGACTTTTTTTTGCCCGGGCGGAAGCATGAAATATCAGGAGATCATATATGCTAATATTACCTAAATCCTGATTCCGTATACAGTATATAAATATCAACAGTATCCTATTGAATCTAGTCATTGTTAAGGTTCCATATTACATAACTCCTGTTGAAGCCGAAGTGTCTTATCCCTTGAAACGCACTGGCTTTCTCTTTCTACTGATTGATTAAAACTTTTTCTGGACTCTGTGATGACTGGTATGGCACCAATGCGGCTTTTTGATTTTTATTGATCCCTAAGGCCGGCCCTCTGTATGTAATGATGCACCGCCCAGCTTCCTGATTGGCCAGCTTCCCAACCAATCAGGAAGCGGGGCGGCGAGTCATTACATGCCGCCCGGCTTCCTGATTGGCCAGAAAGCAAGCTCCATGGCCAATCAGGAAGCTGGGGGCGGATAATGACTTGCCGCCCGGCTTCCTGATACTCTGGTATCGGGCTAGGCATGAGGAGCATTTGGGCGAGTATCGGTATCAGTGCATCCCTGGTATATGCACACACAAAAATGGAATCCAAACTATATGTGTGTGTATGTATGTACAGTTGTGTGAAAAAGTGTTGGCCCCCTTCTTGATTTTTCATTGTTTTGCACGTTTGTCACACTTTAATGTTTCAGATCATCAAACAAATTTAAATGTTAGTCAATGTTATAAAACATCTATTCTTACCCATATTTTTGGTAAAATATAAAAGACGGGGTCACGTCGGGTAAATAGACATCAAACATGTCAAGCCTTAAAATTGCTTGTGCCCACATAATCGCAAGAAACGACCACGCTGAAAATTGGCCATAGGCGACGCTTAAAAAGCTTTTACCGCTCATCAGTTTAGTGTTATCAGTGATTAATGGCTCTAAAATATTGCTCTCGGTCCGACGTTCGCGGTGATATGTAACATGTGCGGCACAATCGTTGTTTTCACACGTAGGCGCACCCGACGCATATCTGCATGTGTATGTGGGGGGCGGGGACTTTTTAAATGTTTTTAATGCTTCTTTATTTTTTTTTTATGATTCTTTAATTTTTGTATAACTTTTTTTTTTTTACACAACTTTATTGCTATCACATGGGGGGGGACTAAGAAGCCCCCTATGTGATAGCCAATTTACATGACGGGTCCTCTTTATGAAGACATCAGGGGTCTCCAAGACCCCTAATGTCACCTGAGGACCCCCAGAGTAGCTGCTTCATCAGCTTCTGTAGATGGAAAGTGACACTGAATGCATGAAGTGATGTAATATACATTACTTCCTGCATTCCGGGATCGGAGAGTAGATCAAAGGGAGGTCGTGTACTGATCTTCCTTTGATCTCCTGTCTCAGACCCGTGCCGGTTCCGGCCGATTCGGGCACAGCGGATCTCGGGACCGGCAACGACAGTGACAGCTTCTGGTAATATAAGCGATCGGGTGTCTAGAGACGCTCGATCGCTTGAATGTAAAGCTCCCGGCCGGCCGTGTAATTACAACGGCCGGGAAGCTGCTCGTCAGGCTCCGCCGTCCTCTCGTCACAGACGAGTGGATTTTTCCAGCCCTGTATATATATACATATATATACACATATACAGGTGAAACTCGAATAATTCGAATATCGTGCAAAGTTCATTTATTTCACTAATGCAACTTAAAAGGTGAAACTAATATATGAGATAGACTCATTACATGCAAAGCAAGATAGTTCAAGCCGTGATTTGTCATCATTGTGATGATTATGGCTTACAGCTCATGAAAACCCCAAGAACCCCAAATCCACAATCTCAGAAAATGAGAATATTACATGCAATCAATAAAACAAGGATTGTACATAGAACAATATCGGACCTCTGAAAAGTACAAGCATGCATATGTACTCAGTACTTGGTTTGGGCCCCTTTTGCAGCACTTACTGCAATTACTTTTGCACGATATTCTAATTATTCGAGTTTCACCTGTATATACACACACCTCTATTGTGTGCACATCTGGGAAGTCATGGGGCTCGTTGGTTCATCACTCTGGGTACCCGATGTTCTTTTACCATGTTCATCCATACAGGACACTTTGGTGTTTATTGTGAGACCTCTAGTGGATGACTGTGATCCGTAACTTTGCATTCCTCTCACACATAACCTGTATTTGTAAAGTGCAATGCTTACTGTACTCATGTATTACTCTGTATGACAAACCTGATGTTTTCTGTATTCTCTCTTCTGCTCTTCCTTTATGATGAATTATTTATATGAAATGAATAGAAAACATATTATGCTAAGACACATTTTGTATATGGCTGGAGTGCATGCAGACAGGAAGTGGCCGCAAAGAGGATCTGCAACACTGAGATGCACCAAAAGGAAAAGGAAACGTATTTTGTTTGATAATACCAATCTACTATAATGACTTTTATTAAACTCATAACTAAAACAATTGTGGGTTTTTTTTTTCTTTCTTAACCTGAGTTTAGTTTTAAAGATGAACTCCAGGAAATGTAAAAATTAAACCTTGCAGTGGAGCTACCCCATACTGCGGGGGTTAAGTACTTGTTTTAGTCTAGGTGCTAAAATAAGGCAAATATACTCACCTGATCCTCAAACTTAGCTGGCGGCTAGACCAGTCCCCAGAGCCTCTTCTCTTCCAGGGATCCAGTGATGTCATCACGGCTAATACAGGGCCAGTAGACATGAGGATGCCGACGGACATTCCACCGACAGAGCGGGAAAGAGGTGAGTGGTCACCACTGCAGGACTAAGCACTAGGTGTGAGCACCGTAAACTCCCCGTTATCCGGCATCCACAAGGATTGGTAGATTCTGGATAATGTTGTTTCTGGTTGCTTGAGAGTTACTATTACAAATAGTTCTAACTAATGCCATACCCCATACTATACTATACCATAACATAAACTCTGTATTGACTTCATATTAATATTGAAATGCAGTAATCAAAAGCAAATTAAGACAAATAGAGACACGATCATTTCCAGGATAATACATGCCGCAGATCGGCAGAACAGTGAGTACACAGGGGATTTTTTTTTTCTGGTTAGATGAGAGTTCTGGTTGGTTGAATACCGGATAACTGAAAGTTTACTGTATCTTCTCTATTATAGCCCCTGGACCAAAATGATCACTTAACCCTGTGGTAGCCCCACTGCAAAGCTTGATTTTTACATTTCCTGGAGTCGTTGAAATACATTCTAAAACCCTTACCAGTGTATACCAGTGACCCAGAAATATTTGTGCCCTTAAGTGTCTCCAAAGTCACTCCAACCCTCTGACAGTCTGTTTCACGATTGAGCTTATAGCACTGCCGAAGACCATGGCGTGTAATATACAGGCCTGTATACCTTTGGATCTGCTGTTTCATATTCTAAGTCTGTACCGTGCGTTTATTTTGGTCTATACCGCCAGACAGCGAAATGTAACGGGAAGCTGACACTTTATTAAACGTCTTTTAAGGTCTCTGCAGCAGCCTGCACAGTAAACGTGGCAATGGCGATTTGTCTTTTCACTTCCTCCCAAGCCTTCTGCTGGTCCGCCTTGTTCTCGATGTCAAAGAGAGCGTCGTAAATCCCGGGGAACGATTCTCCTGCATATTTATTGTGGCTGCTGGGTGCAAAGATGACATGTCTGCAAAAGGAAAAAGAAGATTTGACGGAGAAGATTTGATATGTTTTGTAATGAGCTTCAAGGAATAACTACGGCTGGCGATAAACAATTTGCTTTCTACAGTCAGGACATCAGATAACAGGGACTGTCGCCTTTTGCTCAGAAATAAGGCTCGCAAAAGGAACAAATCTATAACAGTAAATGATAAAAGATAAAATTCTAATAAAATCTCCTCCGGGATGTTCTGGATGTTCTATTCCTTTACAAAAAATATTACCAAAAGAAACAAGAATTTACTTTAACTTAAAGGGGTTTGTGTGTGTGTGTGTGTGTGTGTGTGTGTGTATATATAAATATATAT